AGGAAATCAGAATGCCCCGAAGAAAAAAGAAAGGAAGAAACTAGAAGTTTCTAGACCAAGGGGCATACCCCATGAGCACAACAGGCCTAAATTAATTCTTACATTTGAAAAGAAATGAGCCCAGATAGCATGAGAGGGAGAGAAAAAACTGAAAACTGCTTTTTTTTTAAAAAAGTAATCTGAAAGTAACAAAAAGGAAAAAAAGTAAAGAAACTCAAGAGTAAGAAATTTAAGTTGCTTGCAAGTAAGAATTCCTTTGGCTATACCTATCTGTAATCCAGTTGACGAAGGCTTAAAATGTATGTGTTTGCTGTATCATTTGCTGGCCTTCCATAGTGACTAGTCTTTTAAACTCTTTTGAGGCAAACAGTTTAAAGAAAATATTTAGATATGAGTGCAGTGGTTTAAAAAAGCATGGTTCCATAGACTCATATGTTCAATACTTGGTCCTTAGTTGGTGGGACTATTTGGGAAGGATTGGGAGGTGTGGCCTTGTTGGAAGAACTGTATATAATTTTGCTAAGAGAAAATGATCCCCCAGATGATTTAAAAAATCATTTTAGAGTATTAAATTATCTTGCTGAATCTTTCACAAATTTTACTTAAATTTGATAAAATAAAAGCGTATTATTTTTTAGCTCATACTGCAATCTTCCTCCCTCAGCCTGTGTATTTCCGGGAATACAGGCATGGACAATCATACCCGATTATTTAAAACTCATATTAGACAATGACTTACCAATCAATGTCCTTGCAAAATTAGTCATAGAACAAGCAGATAACAAGCCTCTGGGGTCTAAGAGAAGCTGAGTCCCTTTTAAAGTTGTGTCATCGTCTTTGTTCCCTGGACTGTAGAGGTGAGGAAGTATATAAAACCGCTGTGTTAGACTTGGTGAGAATGTAAATTAAAAGACCAGTGTTTGTTTCTCGGGGGTGAGAGAAGAAAGCAGAGCTATAGGCCTCTCCCACCTGAAGTTTATTGCCTATCAGTCAGACTGCTTACCCATCTCTATGTGTGACTTCTGGTTCTTTCATGGGTTCCTTTGAGAACTTGCTTGTTGGGCCTATGAAATCCTAACAATCTTTGGCTATTAGGCAGGTAGGTAGGTAGATGGATGGATGAATGGATGGATGGATGGATGGATGAATAGACAGATAGACGATGGACAGACAGTGACACACTGATCCCAGTTTTATTTACTTGAACACCTACTAAAAGAAGGACATTTATCTGTATTATGGAGCTTATGATTACAAAACTTTAAAGACATGAAATGCTTTAGGAATAGCACAGATGTGTACACTTATATAGACAGCTACAGCTGTGAGACAGTCTTTAAAGGAATGCTTTAGGGTACTGTGGACCACACAGGAAGGTAGGACAGACTTTCAATAGCTTGAACATGGAGTAGTGTGGTTTTGTGACCAAGCCCAGGGTAAAGAAGCAGAGACTATAGTGGGAGGTCATGCTTGGAAGCTTCTGAAAACAATGGCGACCTTAAACAAAAATAACTAAAATGACTCTGAGAATATAGACATCAGCTGCTAAGAGATAGTGATCTCCTGGTAATAGAAACCAAACAAGAGGAGACAGGCAAGGGCATCAGCATCATTCAGGTTGCCATCCAGAGGGGAGGTCCCCAGGCTGTCTTGAGAAGAGCTGGGGCTGGATATGGGCAAGCCGGGCAGTGAGAATTCAGAAAAGGGAGAGTGTCTGGGGATCTGCAGCGCCTCCCTCTGAAACTAAGTTGAGTATCGATTAAATCCTACTTTCAAAGAAACCACTCTAGATCAAAGAACCACACAAGGGCATGGAGTAAGGAGGGCCTGAAGCTCACAAGGGACTGGGCATAGCAGAGTAGCCCCACAGCCAGAAGGGAAATCGTGCCCTTCTCAGCTGTCAGCTATCAGTTAAAGCAAGAGAGATCTTACTCTGAAAGTGGAAAAAATTAACCCTAATCTGAAGCCAGCTTGAAGCCACCTAACACACTGAAGTATAGGATGAAACCCAGCAAAACTATGGCAAAGTTTTCACTCTTCCAGAACAAAGCTCCAGAGTTGAGAGGGAGGAACGCGCGCGCGCACACACACACACACACACACACACACACACACACACACCTGACAGACAACAAGGTACCACCCACAGTATCTGGCATTTTAATGATTGTGAGGCGTACAGAGAAGCGGGAAATTGCGGGTCATCATGTTCAGGGAAGTCAACTCAAATACAGCAATTTCATGGAAGATAGAAGTTATTAGCTATGCATATTCAGCTGGGTCTGACAGGACTTGCCTGCAATTCTAGGATTTAGAAGACAGAAGCCCTTATTCGGGAGTTCAAGTACAGCTTAGACTATATAGTGAGAGCCTATTTCACAAGACCAAAATAGTAGTAATCATCACAACAATGTGTTAAAAGCCTAGAATAAAGATAGGATATGATGGGTATTAAAGAGATCCACACTGAAATTCTATAGATGAAAGCTAACATTGTCTGAGGTGTGAAATTACTGGATAATACTCACAAGGCTCACATACTGGAACCAAAAAGATGCAATAATTAAAGGTACAACAATAGGAACTGGTGTGTGTGTGTGTGTGTGTGTGTGTGTGAGAGAGAGAGAGAGAGAGAGAGAGAGAGAGAGAGAGAGAGAGAGAGAGAGAGAGAGAGAGAGNGAGAGAGAGAGAGAGAGAGAGAGAGAGAGAGAGAGAGAGAGAGAGAGAGAGAGAGAGAGAGACCAAGAGCAAAAAATAGCCTGGCAGTAAACTGTGAGACAGAGCTCACATCACTTGGTCATTTAGCATTTGTTTTCCTAGGAGAAATGATGGCTTACATCAACACAGTGACTTCCCAATCAGTTCCATTGCAGACTTAGTCACAGCACAAGCTGGAAGCAACCTGGGGTCTAGGAGAAGCAGAGTTGGTTTTTGAAAGTTGAGGTATGTCATGGAATAAAAATGGACCCACAGTGAACAGTGTGTGCTACTGATATTCGGGTGTGTCTCAGCCTAAGGGTTTGGATAAAACACAGAAAAAGCAGAGAGGAGAAGCTGTTTTGGAACTGGGCTTATGTGCAGGTCTAGAAATGCAAGCCATTCCGTGTGCAGGAAAACAGATCTATAGGGGAGGGCAGGGGGGAGGATCGACTGTCAGAGAGCCTTCATGAAGGTTCCGGGGTCATGTACCTATGCTCTTTGTGGCTTCATGGATGCAATTGTGCATCCACGGGAATATTTCCAACCTTCAAACTTTTTAGTATATTTTAATGATATTTCAGAAAAGCTATTATTATAAATAATCGTGTACATAAATAAATCAAGGATCTTGACTTTGGAACTAAGGAGAGAGCCGGCAGCCAGGAGACTTTATTTGGAATGGAAGCTAGTTTTGTTTGTTGCGGTGGGGGAAGGGCTGTTTCTATGAGCTGAGGGTAGTTACAGGAAACTGCAGAAGGGGGGGGGGGTTAATTGATGGACGGGAGGGATTGACAGCACCTTAAGAGCTCAAGGCCAAATGATGCAGCTCGGAGGAGAAGAGACAGAAAGAGGTGTACTTACTGGACACACCCTGCCTGGACTTTATTTTGCAAACACTAAAGGGGAAAGTTCTTGTTCTCAAACACCATCGTTATAAAGTAAGTTAATCAGTTTCCCAGAGTTTTCTGCTCAAAAGAGGAGCCCCCTTAGGGTACTTTCTCCCAGATCCAGTGACTCCAGCTAAATCTAGGTTTTAACCGATGTGAATCTCTGATTCACTGGAAAAATAAGATTACTTTATTGAGCAGCGTCGTGTGCCTTCCTCCTTATCAGAAGGGCCGAGTTAGATGTTTTGCTCTTTTATCAAACATCCTCACGTGGACACATGAGCAGTCCTGACAGCCCGGTGTTTATGGCCCTGGTGCAGGTTTCCGAAATATGGAAAGTGCAGCCGTCTAACAGCGAGGGATGTTGATGTTCAAAATTATCATTTGATCATACAGTCTCTCTCTCTGTCTCTGTCTCTCCCTCCACCCCTGTGTGTAAATGATAGCATGTTTAAACAACACACGAAGTGACACTTGAACTAAATCATTTATTTTAGCTTTAAACAAACTCATAAACTCCACATTAGCAACGTTCCATTTTACTTAGATGCAAACTTCCAGGGGGCACTAACTCAAGCGTACCATGTAGAATGCCCATCCTGTAAAAATAATTTCAATATCGTTCATATGTAATCAACAGGTTTAACGCGATGAGCACGTTGATGTTGGCCTTTTAATCTGGTTCATTTCAATACGAAAGAATGTACTCATTCAGGAGTTAACAAAGCATACAGGACTTCACAAAGACTTGCCCACAGGGGCGCGGGGTGGGGGACTGAGTTGGGGGTGTCCCTAGAACCCGCCACTTTCCGTGGTAGCTGTGGAACGGCCGCAGCCCCGGGGATCGCGGGCTTTCAGTGGCGGCCTCGGGGGAGTTTCTGGCGGCCACCCAGCCTGGCTCTCAGCGTTGGGGCGAGTGCTGGGGGAGAAGGACCACCTTTTGGAGAGACAGGGTCAGTAAGTGCAAGGAAGTCCCTGGAGACCCTGAAGCACCGTACTCCGGGCTCGGCTGCCACTTGCTCCGGGAGCGGGAAAAACCTCAGCTGCCTCCCTCTCAGAGCGCACAGTTGTCGCGCGGACCCCAGAGATGCTCCCCAAGTACAGGATGGTGGTCCCTATAGACCCGCTCTCAGAGGGCTGGCAATTCCTGCGACTGGCGACCGAGAACGGTCCCCGCTGTGCCTGTCTCTGGCGGGACTCGACGGGGAGAAGAGCGGGCTCCAAGGGATACTCGCCCTTGGCTGCTTCCTTTTCCCCGCGGAGCGGGCCGCCGTGAGTTGGAGTGTGGGTGGCTACAGACGCCAGCCACTTGAGCGGCTGTGGCTCCAGCCTCCTCCCCCGCTGGTGGGGGCGGGAAGTGGCGGTGGGAGTCACCCGGGCGTGACTGCCCCGAGGCCCCTCCCGCCGCGGCAAGGGCGCTCCATAAAAGCCTGCTGGCGACCCGCTCTCCGCATCCCACCGGTGGCTCTCATCTCTCACGGAGGCGCCCACAGCAGAGCACCAGCCGCGCAGAGACGCCAACCCGCCAGCCACGGTGAGTGCCAGGACCCACTGGGACAGGAGCGCGGGCTCTCAGACGCCCCTGAACTTGCCCAGCGGCCGGTCCTCTGCCAGCTTCACACCCAACCTTTCTTGGCGGCTAAATTCCACTTGCCAACTCTGATACAACTGTCCACCTGCCCCTTCCCCGGGCCTCTCCTGGCTGGGCGTCCCACCTCCGTCCCTGTTATCTTTTGAGGGTATGGAAAATAACATGGGGGTCCCTATCTCAGGGCAGGAGCGTTTCTTTTGGGGGGTCTAAATTGCGTGCGCCCAGAGGGAGGTTTCACTAGTACTGTCCCATGGTGTCAGGAGCCCTATTCCCTGTCACCTCCAGGATTCCAACTGAGCCTGTGAGCCCCCTTTCCGGGTCCTGTTGCCACACCCTGGGGAATCTGACTGTCACAGTAGCGCCTGTAGCCAAACAGATCAAAAGTGACCGACAGGAAAGTTTCGTCCTCCAAGGATGATTTGGGGGCTAGAGGAGAAAAGTGGCCATTCTTTAAGCTGGAGGGCAGCTCTGTCCTAAACTAGAGGACCTCCAACCGCCACCTCTCACCAGGCGACTTGGAGGGACATTTCATGGAATATGGGGCAGAGCAGAGGGGCCGGGTCAGGGCGGGTGGTCCACTAAAGCTCTGGAAGAGGCGCGTGCCAAATCCGGGCTTCTTTCTGGGGTATGGGATGGAAACAGATGAGGGTCTGGAGTGGTAACGGGAACTGGGACTTGGCGAGCATCCTGGGCATCCCCAAGTCTGAGCCTTTTGTATCCACAGATGCTAGGTAGCAAGCGAATGGGGCTGTGTGGACTGACCCTCGCTCTGTCCCTGCTCGTGTGCTTGGGCGTGCTGGCTGACGGATACCCCTCCAAGCCCGACAATCCGGGCGAGGATGCTCCAGCTGAAGACATGGCCAGATACTACTCGGCTCTACGGCACTACATCAATCTGATCACCAGGCAGAGGTGGGTGCATCCCCCGACTGGTGCCTGGAGCTCCAGGCCAGAACACCTGCGCATCTGGGAGCCTTGGACAGCAGGGATGATTTCTTTTTTTCCCTTGTTTCGTCCCAGGGTCAGGCAGGATCAGTCATAAATTCCGCTCTAGATAAATGCGTGAGCAGGGAATACACTACACAAACTGGATCCTTTCTCCCCGTCACTACAGTTGGTCTCCAAGTCCCAAGCCCAAGATTCAGTGCCTCTGGGCTGTGTGTGTCTCTCCCACCCACCTCTCCTGGCAGCGACAGGAGCAGGGAAGCAGCTGGGCTATGGTGTAGGGAGAAGAGGGAATCCGACCTAGAGTAAATAACCATTACCCAAAACACCAAAGACACAGTACAGTTGTCTAAAGGGTTGCTGAGATCTTCCAACTTGCCCAGGGTAAGCTGAGTGGCAGCATTCGTGGGGGAGAGGGGACCACAGAACCATGGGTTTCTTTCTTCTGAACCATCTCAGCCTCACACTTGAGAATTACTAGACACTCCTAAAAAGCTGACTTCTCCACTTTAGAGCAACCGAGTTCTGGAAAGAAGGTGCTTGGGTTTTTCCTAACTAAGAAGAAGCCAAACAAAGCCAAAGCTTGCATAGTACTCTGGTTACGCCCCGACTGCCTGGGACCTGAGAGATGGCGAACTTTATTTTTAATGCCCAGAAGTCAAAGAGAAGAGCCTTGCTTTTTCTCTCAGCATTAAAGTCAAGCAAAACAAATTAAATCCAAGCTAATTTAAAAGCAATACAGGACTTGGTTTGCAAAATCGATGACTCTTAGCTCTAAACATTTAACAACACATTTTAATTACTGAGAACCTTGAAGAACTGTAGGGGCAAGGCCTTCGGAAACATTAATGTTCTTTACTTAGCATGTTTCAATTATGCATGGTAAATTACCAGAGGGAGGTTAAACTGCTCACGATGCAGGGGATGGTTAGATAGGATCCAAAAGGGGGTTATACTTCGGAAACAGTTGTCAGCTCTTAATTTCACCAGAAAGGTGTGTGTCAATCTGAAAGCTTTCTGGGGAAAACAATCCCAGTGTGTGCAGAATCACTTAAGTAATACTGGCTCATAATCTTTTGAAACGGATCATTTTGGTTAGCAAAAAGGAATTGTGTTTTTGAGTCCAATAGACTTCCTAGAAAGTCAGTGCTTTCAATTTTTTATTTCATACAGCTCAGAAAAAAATTACACAGTTGAAACGATACCATGTTTTTAAAAGGAACTTTATTTAGATAAAACCTATAGAACTAATCTTTTTTGTAAAGATTGCTGCTATACAGCCGCCACTGTGTATAGAATGATTCCATTCCGTGGTTTTCCAGTCACCTCAGTCAGTCTTTTCCTCACAACTTTGAAGTGGATTTAACTGTCTCCACTGTGCAGATCATAAAACCAAGGACATTTCAAGAAAGCTGTTTTAACGATATGGAGTTGGAACCTTGAACTGAGTTTCATTGGCTGGGATCACACTATCACATTCAATGTAATTTCTACTGTCTTTAGGAGAAGTGAGGAAAGGGGCTTTCCTGTCATGGGAAGAGAATCAGGAGGGAACTGGTCCATAAAGCAGTTCCCTCTGTCATCTTGGTGATGAGCCTAGAAACCACTAGAAGCTCTATTGTGTACTTGTTGACTTCCCCCCAAAGACTCCCAGGCAGGAGTCCACGCCTTTGAAATCTAACATGTCATTTGTGACTGTTTTATCTGTAATTATTCTCTTTCTTCCTCCTGCCAGCCAGTCCTGGTTGTAGCTGTTTTCCCATTGTGGTACAGGCTGCTGATTCAATGCTTCTGCAGGCCGGATTTCTTAATCTACTCTATGGATCTATCACATCTAGCTTATATGGTTCCTTAGAACAGTGGTTTTCAGCTGGTGGCTGGGGGCAGGTGGGGAGAATGTTATCCTCTCTAGGATATGGGGCAGCATTGGGAGAGATGTTTGGTTGACAAAACCAGAAGTGAGTGCTGCTGGTATCCAGTATGGAGCTGACAGGAATGCTGGTAATATCCCAGGATGCCCAGCCCAGCTCTCCACCCCTACCCTGCCCCCCAGTAAAGAATCCTCTTCTCCCAAGTGTTAGTACGACACAGGTTGAGAAGTAAATCTCTAGAACAGTGTTTCTTCATCCTGCTTTGCGTCACAATCACATGGAGAACTTTTTAAATAGAATGACTTGGCCTCTGCTCTCACCAATTAAATCGAGATGGGATCTGGGCTTTCTAAGTGTCCTTAAAGGCGTCCCAGGGGAGTTTAATGTGAAGCCTGGTTCGAGAATCTTTGCCTTAGAAACTCCATCTTTAGAAACTTGCTTACTACAGAGAAAACTGATCATTCAGAATTAATTAGAGAAAGAACAACTCCAAGCCTGTCCATCCTGTAGGTGTATGACCGGGCAGACGCTATCACGACACTGGTGAATTTGTGACTGGGAAAAGGGTTCCAGCCCTTTCGCTATCCTACTATAGGCAGGGTAGAAGGACCCACAGAAAGATTTCTGTGGGCTGGTAGGACTTCTTCATACCTGGGGGAAGCCATGAGTGCCTCCAGCAGATGGGGAGTAACTGCTGTAATTATAGTATAATCTCAAGAATAAAATATTTATGAAGCGCTTCAGAAAATTAAATACATATAACCTTTAAATTGTATTTGCTTATTGTTTGGGATGAGAGAGAGAAAATTTGTGTTGGTGTATGCCTGCAGACACCTGCATGCGGAAGTCAGAAGGCAATTCTCCAGAGCTGGATCTCTAGTTCCTGTTTGGGTTCTGGGGCTTGAACTTGGGTCATCAGGCTAACATGCCAACCCCTTCTCCACCTCAGCAGCTTGCATATGTGTGTGTATGTATATATATATATGTATGCTGATGGCATGTGCTTCACACTCTGAGAATACTTAGTAGCAGATGAAAAACTGGAAGTAATGTCTGAGTCTGGTGATACACTCTCCTCCTCTCTCCTAAGCTTATTTGATAAATCTCTGATTATGCTTTCTTGTTTCAGATATGGCAAGAGATCTAGCCCTGAGACACTGATTTCAGACCTCCTGATGAGAGAAAGCACAGAAGATGTCCCCAGAACAAGGTACAACAAGACTTGGGGTGGAGACCTTGCTACAGAGATTAAGATGCTAGGGGAGGTGAGCTGGGGAAAGCTGGGAGTCCACGTGAACATTAGGATGGAAGAATCTAGAAAAGAGGAATTAGGGCAGAAGTGGGGATGAAAAACCATAGAGAAAAAGACCTTTTTTATAGTGCATTCACCGGCTAACCTCAACTTGCAGGGCATATGGTTTTTAACTAATATTATTTGGTGCTTTTTTCTAAATGTGAGTGATTTTTAGCTCAAAATCATACTCTGTAGAATATCTTGCCTTATTAGAAGTAAGGGAGCATAGAACAAGCCCACAGCTCTAAATTGAAATGACCAATCATCCATTTGGGGTGATCAATCTAGTTTTTATACACTAAATAACACACCCAAATGTCTTAGAGCCTGTGTCCTTCGTATGTTTGACTCTATCTTTCCTGGATTTACCCCAGACTAGAGCTAAGTCAAGCTCCTGGATACCTTTTGATGTATTTTGGTTCAATATAGTGATTTATTTTATTCAAAGACTCACTGTAGGGCCATATATTATCGTTAGGTGCTTATCTGTAGTCTGGAGCCTTTCTTGGCGTACGAACTGGTCTTGACACAGGTGTTTGCCCAAATCAAAGGGCTCCCCAGTGGGCTAAGCCGGTGCCTCCTGGACAGGAAAGGGGTGCTGCTAAAAGGGGCAGAATCTGCCTCCACTTTCATAACCCCTAACCTGCTCTGTTGACCTTGCCTCCTGCACGATCTCAGCACACCATACTTAAGCATCCCCGTAGACAGAACTCCACACTGTCAGAAACCGTGTTCCCCAGAAGAGGTCACTAGCATGCTTGCTCAATGAGTGTGACTGGTGTGTCACCCTACATGGATGTTCTCCACGGAGAACCCACGGGTGACAGCAGGATCACCCAGCCTCCCTCAATGCTCTCTCAGCTCTCTTATGAAACAACCAGCCAGATGGTTTCTCTGAGGTAAACAACCATCTGAACTGAAATAAAGTTCCCTGCTTCTCTCCCTGGACGCATCAACCTAGACTTCACCAGTGAACGCAAGGAAATGGGAAATTCATAGCATTGTTTTCGATGCTGATCAATAAGCATCTTTTTAATGTCTCATTGATATGCATGGGATATTTGCCACAGGAAAGGTTTAGGCCAGGCTATGTATACTTAGGATTTGGAAAGAACGAGCCAGGCCTACTTAGAACTTCATTGCCTGCTTTGTTTTGTCGACTGAAATAACACAGTTAGTGCAGGGAATAAAGTTAACAGCACCCTGACTGACAGACTCAATCATGTGCAATTAGGAGGAGACAAAAGTTGATAGCCCTGGAGCTGCCTGTGAATGCTGTCTTATTAAAAGGGGCCCTTTAGAGTCTAATAAATGGCATCTCTCTACATAGCAAAAGCTTCCTGGAAAACAACGGAAGCGTATTCAGAGTGGAACAACACTAACTTTCTTGTTATAGTTTCATGTGATTCCTATAGTTTTCATCTTCAGAAATCCGCTGGAGTCCCTCAGCTCCTTTGATATGTACAGAGCCTTCTGCGGACTCTCTTAGAGACTCCAGTTCCCATGGGGCAAAAGCCGATGAACTGGGGCTTCATGATGCTGCCGTCCGTTCCCCTGTGGCTTCTTATTTGCAGCGCCAACTGGAGGCTTCACCATAGCTTCTGATCACTGTGCAGCTCAGGACTGATGTCTTGTCTCACTCTTGTAAGACCCCCCCCCCCCCGCCCCGGAGCCGGGCAGTCATTCTTCTCTGCTCTGTTTCTTGTGTTTTCCAGGCTTGAAGATCCTTCCATGTGGTGATGGAAATGAAGCTCCCTCTCCCGGTCCTTCCTGTTCTCCACGCTCATCTCATCTCATCCTGTGACACCTGTCCCACCAATGCATGCAGCCCCCGGGCTGGACTCAGCACCATTTCCCTTCTTGTCGTTGTATATATGTGTGTTTAAATAAAGCATCATGCATCCAAATGTGTATTCTCTTCAGTGAATCATCTCTGATCAGAGCAGAAAGAACTGGGTTAGGCATTAAATGGTCATCAGTCTCAAGGGACAAACTCAGAGTTTGTCCCACCAACATTAGAACAGCGGCCATGAAGAGTAAACGGCTGTGCTGCCTTTGGAAGCATTGGTCTCAGAGCTTTAGGGAAAGGTCTCATATCCTCGAATCTAACATAGCAGTCACCAGTGGCTGACTGAACACCTGATGTGACCGATGTGAATAAGGAGTGGAGTTTTCCATCCCGTGCAATTGAAATTCATGTTAATAGGCATGTGTTGCTGGTGGCTACCACATCATATCAAGCGGCTGACTCGAGGTCACTCCTGGAATATGAGCAAGAATCACACTGGGCAGGATGGTCCCCTCACACAGCCTGGGCATGGTAATTAGTTTAGCTAAAACATCACCCAATTTCCTCCTTCAAGTCCCAATTTGCATGGACTTAGTTAAAAATTAACAGTATTCAATTCTTACATATCCCCCCCCCCCCCCGCCCCGTGACAGACAGGGTTTCTCTGTAGCTTTGGAGCCTGCCCTGGAGCTCACTCTATAGACCAGGCTGGCCTCGAATTTACAGAGATGCACCTTTCTCTGCCTCCTGAGAGCTGGGATTAAAGGCGTGTGCCACCACATTCTGGCACCCTTAAATGTACTCTTAATCAGAGAAATGGGCCTTCCTCATCGCACAGTGGTGTTTGTTCTACACTGTAAATCATATGTGATATCTTTAAATTGCTAGCAAATACCCAATAATAGCATTTAATGACAGAGACAGATGTAAAGAAAACAAACAGATTTTTATGTAATTTTTGTCATTTTTGCCAATATCATAGAAGGTACTTATAAAAACTAAATTGACCATGGCATCCCTATAGAATCACTGTCCCTCTGGTCTATCACTGACTGTAATATGTGACTGTCTATCATTTTCTATGCATAAATAATTTTCACATTTTCTCAGCCGGTGAAGCCAGTGATGCTATTTACAAGTCCCCTGACAAAAACTGTTCTGTAATTTCCAAAACGTCCCCATTATTTTTCTTTGTTCGTTTAAATACTGATGTGCAAGGAAGGTGTTTTTAATCATCACAAAGGTTGACAGAGTCACAATTTACCATCGTATGATATGAGTGTTCAGTCCTCCCCAATTACATTTGGAAACTTTGTTTACTAAAGTCAGTATTATGTAAAGAAAGTTGACTCAGAGCCATCTGGCAGCACAGATAGGCTGAGAATGTGTCACTATAGTATATAAAGACTCTTGGTTACACACAGTAAATGAAATAGGAGTAATATGCATGAGTCATTGAAAGATAATCCCGGAACTTCATTTTCATGGAAAATTCCAGCTTCTCGTACCACCAGATCTAATCATCCAGTAGCCCCTGCTTCACTCATACCCAACCTTGGGCTCCTTCACTACACCGTACTAGAAAAAGACTGGAATCTTTCCACCCCCTAACCTCTGTGGTCCAGGCCCAATGGCTTGTCAGACTCACAACTTTCAAAGCCATAGGACCTTTCAGTTCTCACTCTTGAGATGGAGGTAATAATACCCAGGGACCAACATTTAAGGTAAATTAGAAGTAAGTAATAGAAATGGAATAGGTAGGGATGGTGTTTTGATGAGTTGGGGTACCAATCCCTAGTAAACAATTGATTTTATAATATATAATGATGATAAACTCTAATAGTTGGAAAACTACATTTCAAAAGATCTCTGCAGTGTGGTAAGGAGGCCCCTTGTTCATTTCCCGCCATCCAGACTCCCGAAATAATCACACAGAAACTATATTATTTAAATCACTGCTTGGCTCATTAGCTCTAGCTTCTTATTGGCTAACTCTTAGATATTAATTTAATCCATTTCTATTAATCTGTGTATTTCCATGAGGCTATGGCTTACTGAATAAAGTTCCAGCGTCCATCTCTAGTGGGGCTACATGGCCTCTCTCTGACTCTGCCCTTCTCCCAGCATTCAGTTTAGTTTTCCCCCGCTACCTCTAGACCCTGCATGGGCCCAAGACAGTTTCTTTATTAAGCAATGGTATTCGCAGCATACAGAGGGGTATCCCACGTCACTGCAGTAATATTTCTCAAACATTTTCAGGCTGCTGACCATCTTCAGAGTAGGCTTAAAGGTGCTGGATCATCTCCCTGACACTCCACAGATAAATCAGGGGCAGAGATAGCTCCTCCCTCCTATTAGGGATTAGATGCCTGGGTTTATTAGAGTAGGGAAGGACACCTGCCTCGGGGTGCGGAGAGCACAGAAGGCAGAACAGACTTCTTGGGGCAGCTGAAGTGTGAGCTGAGGCTTCTAAGACAGCAGTGATGCCACACAGAATAAAAAGAGGGCTTAGTTTTTTTCTCTGGTTGCCGTGATAAAAGACACCTTCAGAAGCAGCTTACCAGAAAAAAGGGTTATTTTAGCTTATAACTCAAAGTACAGTCCATCATGGTGGGGAAGACAAGGCTGCAGCTGGTCACATGGAGTCCACAGTCAGGAAGAGGAGAAAGATGAATGCTCTGTGCTGCCCAGTTCCCTTTCTCTGTTTGTATAGGTCAGGACCCCAACCGGAGAATGACACCAGCCATGGTGGACATAATTAAGATAATGTCCATGGGCATGGTCAGAGGCTCCTCTGATGGGTGATTCTAGAACCTTCTACCAAGTTAACAGTACTACGTGTCGTGTCACAGAGGACTTGCAGATAAAAGGCACAAAGTTCTGATTTTTGAGGGGTAGAACCCATTTGAGATGAAACCAGGACCCACATCATATCCTAATTATTTTCTTCAGGCATTGCCTCACCTACTCTACCTCCAGACTTTCCAAAACCAGGACCCTCTGCCAATATTCTTCCTTCAGTCAATCCAGGGCTGGGCTTCTCATTCAGAAATGATCTTATGAACAAACTGAGAAGTTCGGAGAATAAATGAAGCTCCACTGCCTAATCCGGGAAGATAGCGACTCTTTACTTCTTTTGCGATGCTTTAGAGACCTTACTGTCTTCCAGCTTCTTTCGCCCTGCCTTAGATCAGGACCAAGGAACATATAAAGAGAAAAAAAATGGAAATCAGCCCTGGTTTGGGACCCGTGCTATATCAGTGAAATAAAGATATTGGTGTACCTGCTCCGAGATGCAGCCATGCACAACTTCTGTATGGACCATTGGTGCCAGGAAAGTGATGAGAATGGCAGTTAATTGTCTCTCCTCTTTCTTTTTAATGCATGAACATTAAGTATGCATAGTTTCTTAGTCGCATATACACAATAGAAAAAGAGGTCCTTGCTCCTGGAATCAGCTACCAGGCCATCACAACCAAAAACGCACTCTTTCCACTATCATACAAGGAAACAGTGCTTTAAGTGAAGCATTTCAGGGGAATATTCCTCTATCATAGTTCTGGCCAGAAGGATTATGATATTGTCACAACTGAAATTATTGCCTTTTCTTCTGCTCATTAGAACAATTAGCACAGTGAGCCACCACACAGAAACCTTTCCTTTTAAAAATTTAAGTGGAATAACTTATAATTAATCCTGTGTGTCATCCAGACTCATTTTTTAATGTTCTAAGCAATAGCTATTAAGTTAAACTCATTCTCATGCCGCAATGCTGAAATGCTGTGCATTGTGGGAACGGCATTCTGCATGTGCAGACACTCGTCTTCTTCCCTGACACAGGAGATGATCAGTGAGGGCTCGTTCAGCCTGGAATCAGCTAGGAAGACTGGAAACAATCACAGTGAGGCCAGAACACTTGCCAGGCTTGGCTGACCACCCCACAGAGGTTCTCTCTGAGAGAATGGCATCATTCAAATGATTTTTCAATTAAAGGTCACCTGAGATAATTGGATTTTTATTTATTCTAATACACAAATCCTTTCTATCACTACCAAGCCTTCTAAGCCAGAGCTACCCACTAAATGAGCTGGTCTATGTAATTTAATACAAGAGTAAACAATGGCAGCAGAACGTAGGCCATGCAGTCTTCTACGTGACAAAGTGGACTGACTCTCTGATCTCTGCATTTCTTGAGTCCCAAGGATGCTATCAGTTTTGGAAACATGCACTGAATATTCTCCATTGCCAGAGCTCTCACAGTTTCTAGGAGTGATACAAATGTAAGGGAGATGGTCCCCCTGAACTTAAGTACCTATCAATCTATAAAGGAGATAGCTGCATATTTAAGTGACATGCGCAAGACAGATCACGGCAGACGTTTAAATAGAAGCACTATGCAAGAGGCCATGGGCGTGAGGAGTGGGGAGTGTCATCAGAATTGGATTTGGTGGTTGGCAGCTGTTCGTGTTAATCTTTAATTTAAGGACTGTCGAGATCATTATTAACTACACTAACTCATAGAGACAAGCTTTATAGGTGTCTCAGCAAGTCCTAGCCAGGACACTAACCTCACAACTTAGGGAGGTGAGGGCTGGCCATCCATCTCAGCATGAGCGCCTATTGTCTGAGCCAATGTACATGTGTAACGGCGTAAGCGAATGCAGACAGATTGTCAAAATATAGACAGCTTTAATGGAGGAATAGACTTACAGAACCACTGTTCCCGCGGAGACCAGGAAAGCAGAAGAGGACGCTGGGAGCATGCTCACCAATTTTATAGGAGAACTTTAGCCTGAGGCGAACACGCCCCCTAAGGGGTGGGACTTATCCCTACATACATGTGAACTGGGATGGGAGAAGAAGGACGGCAGAAGGGAGAGGATGGTGTCCAACCCTCTCTTGCTGCTAGTAATCCCACCCACGCTCTAAAACCAAGGGTCTTGTTTTGGGCAACAAAGTGAGAAGAATAAGTAATTAAAATATCATCTTTGTGTGTATATACACACACAGGTATGCTCACACACTCATGTATATACACACACAGACACGCATACACCCTCGTGTACATACACACACAGGCACACTCACACACTCATGTATGTGGAA